GACATATACCAAAAAATTCTAGTTCAAAGACTGTAAAAGTCGTACGAAAGACCTCTCGGACTGTAAGGATCAAAGCATACGACAACATATGAATTTTGGAAAGGCAATACCATGGTTACAGTAACGAGCAATATTTATGATGATGTATACGGCAGTAAAACCCTGAAAACGTTGGAAAATGTCAGCGTCGGTTGGTTCAAGAAATTTAGGGCCAGGAATTTCAATCTCGACGATGAGCTTCGCTCTAGGCAACCACCTGGTTTAGAAGACACCGATATTGCTGTAGTAGCGGAAGCCGAGCCAAAACTTACTACACGATAAATCACAGAGAAGCTCGAAGTCTCTCAATCAACAGCAGCTTAAGAAGTTTCTTTTAAAACTTATCCGACACAATTCATGACTTAACCCAATACCTCTCGCACGATTCATAAATACAATGTTTCTTGGTTTTAAGTCTTATTTATTTATTTATTTATTTATAAATGCGTATTGCCACGTATCCCTGAATATATTTTGAATAATCTCTCACAGAATATAATGTCCTCGCTCGGTGATTTTTGTCATCCGTGCGATCAGCGCAATTTGCGTCTAAATATTGCACGCGATATGACGTTTCATAAGCGTGTTGGAATTGCACGCTCATCATTCTTGACATCCAACAACGTCCAAGTCCATCGCTGCGTCTCGGTCGCGTCGTTCTGCATTCGTTCAGGTTCCTCACGCAAAATCCTCGCCCTCGTTACAGTTTTCGGCACGCCTGCTCGGACTTGATTAAACGTCGTTGTACGAAGAGATTCATTAATTATTTACTAATTATTTACCAATTATTATTTATTGTTTTATTTATTAATAAAATAATTTCTTTTTAAAACTTCCATACACTTTAATATTTGATAATATCCGCGCCAGAGTGCCGAAACAGACAGAATGCCGGCTACAGGACGTTTGCTTCTACGTCTCAGTTTTCAGAGGTTGAATGCAAAGGTACAGGAAATCCATAAACCTACCTTCGAACCGACCCTGCTTAAACCGATCCGGATCCCCCGGTACGGCATCCGCATTCACCGCATCCACCATGTGGCCACAAGCTTCGCCAAAATCTGAAACCAAAATTAAATTTCCGGATTAGCCAAACTGATAGATGCCAGTATATAGAGAGAATAAGGTACCTCGAGACCGTATATATTTTTTGTAAACTAACAAAATAAAAAAGAGAATGGTAATTACTCTTAAGGGAATGCCATATTTGAAATCTTTAATATCTAATAAAGAAATAATAAATAAAAATAACAAATAAATAAAATGAAAATAAGTAAGAAGTAAAGTAAAATAAGTAATAATAAATGAATAAATAAATAATAAAAATAATAAATAAAGAAATTGACGAGTAATAAACAATTGCTTCAATCAAAAACTAAGGAGTTTTAAGAAAATGCATATTTTCTTATTAGAAAAATATTTGATATATTATATTATATTATTTTATTTTAAATTAATACAAAAGTAAATATATTATTGGTACACATCGAATAAATATTTTATATTTCTTAGATATCTTTTCTCTCAATCTATCACAATATCAGTACAGTTCAACTTTACACAAGAAATCTTGTAAAATGAAATACTATGAAATATAATCTTAACGTAAATATAATTTTTAGTACATTATTTTCTCCATATACCTATTTTAACTGACGGAATATTAAAATATCTATGTATATTATAACGTAGATTTATTAGCTTCGCATTGGCACGTCTTTGTCCTACAGAAAAAGAAAGTACAGTTACAATGTAAGAAGTATGAAAAATTCCACTCTTTTCGTTTGCCAACCTTTACATTGCGTCGGCCTCCTGTGTCTCTATCTGTTTTCCTTTGACTGTTTGTTGTATTACATAAAATCGCGCGGCTTTCAGCCTTCGGCTCGACAGCTATCACATGATGAACCAATGCGATCACTTTTGTAACATCACCGACGTCGCAACGCGAGTTCATCAGCGCGATCGATTAACATGGATATACGGTTCGATTTCTGTTTGGCAATACAACAGGCATGGTACCGACGAATCATCTAGTCACACAATAATAATAGATCGCGCACGCGATCGCCAATAAGCCGTGATGCGGCGCAAGTGATAGTGTAATCTCTACATCGATACATAATAAGCAGAGAGCAAGGCAGCGAGGCAGGATACAATTATCGTTTGTTCGCGTTGATAAAATTTATCGTGTCGCCGCATGCAACAGCGATATAATTTCCGGACCTGTGTTAATCCGATTGGTCGTCCGACCGGCCGAAGAAGAGAGAGAGAGAGAGAGAGAGACACTGACTCGTATCTACCCTATTACTGTATCAAGTACCGTGTAATCTGAAGATAGAACCCGGAGACTGCCCATACCCTCCGAACTTCATGAATTATTTAGCGCCACCAGGTGCAAAAGCACCGTTTATTAAAGCCACGGAGACTCGGGTCTGATTTTCATGATTATGAGATATATTCGCTGATCCGAATATACGAGGCCGAATTAAACGCATGAATTTGTCACACTTGGATGCCGCGGCGCATACGATATTCTGCTTGATGTGCTTCCGCTTTGTGAACGCCGCGAATTTTCCCGCAAATACTTGCCGGCTATTTCCAGCCGCATATTTATTAGTATCGATAAGCGCGCTTATGACAAAATGTAAGATATAAACAAATATATTACCCAATTGAAAATTTTTCTTTGAACAATAGTATCTCCTCTATCAAACAATATAATTTAATTTAATGAATGAGATGATGTTTGGCACAGAATTATGTTGTTTAATAGAAAATTATTTCACGTTGGAGGTCAAACAAAAATCGATGTCAAGTTCGAAGAAACTTTTCTCTCAGTGTACGACGAAAGTTCGTAACGTCGTGTCAGCTGTTGCAGAATTCTGTACAGTAACTGTAACAATTACGTGCGATAAAATATATCATTTCCGAACGAATAAATCTTTCGAGACCTAAATATTTTTAGATTAGAACATTGTCTATACATAGTCGATCGTTCGCCCATCAGAATCGCCCATCGTTTTCTACCGCAGATCAGTATTCATGCATTCGATCTCCTGTGATCGATCAAATGAATTAAGCGGAGCCGTACAGATTTATCTGTTCGGCAGTAAAATATTAATCTACATTAGCGCGTAGCTTAAACCGATACTTTATTCACAAGCACAGCAGTGGAAAGCAGCCGCCTTGTGGTTTCCGTGCCGCCGCAGTGTAGTTAATAAGTAAGGCGACGTTTGCGCGATACTCCAGTCAAGAATAATGCCGCGCTACCCAGCCACATTACAGCGAGCGGAAGGGTTAACATTTCGCCAAAGCAGAAGCATGAAGCATCCGGTTGTCCGGCCGTAATAAATACAGAAATAGGTCCTTTTGATCGTAAACCCCGTCGTGCGTCACTGCCGCCTTAAATATTTGACGAACTTGGGATTTTACGGGCCGAGCTTTGAGCAGGATCCGGATTCGCGCTGCGTTTCCTTGCCCACCTTGTCGGCAACGCGAGAGCCGGGGGAACGAGCTCGATTAATTTTCCAGGGGCGACTGTCCTCGAGGCGGGTCATCGTTTCCGAACGACGAGTCCCAATAAACACTTCGTGCCTGGTGGACATTTGTCATACACAGGACAATGTTACGACGTCCTATTACTGGTCGACTTTGCTTTGCAGATACGGCGAAATTTGCATGCGCCGGCGTAAAGGAAGTATGGCGGGTTTACGTTGGGAAGGCACACGATGTCGAAGGCAATCTCTGCCGAGCGGATGAATTTTCAAGTGACAAAAGACGAACGAAAACGAACGCACAACCTTCGCTTGTGAACAAGCTAAGCCAGGACCGAGACAAAAAGAGAAAGCTAAATAGACCCGTGTGCAATAAAGTTGCGCGGCTCGCTTCGCGAAAACTTCGCGGCCGATCTTGATAATCCTCGAGACCGCAGTCGAGATCGCCCGACCTTCCCGTATACGAGTAATTCGATGGGTTTTCGAAAACTAGTTTCAAGTTCCGAGGATCCCTGCGGGATCTCACTAACGACACGGTGAAACTGTTACGATCTGGTGGCGCTCGGACACGAATTTTTGTGCCCCCGAATATACTCCAGGGACCTCTCCATTCCGTGAATGTGCCTAGAAAAAAGCGGAAAAGGATCCTTCCCATTTTAACACTTTGATTACGAATCGACAATTCGATTACATTTCTTTGTCCCTTTACTTCGTTCTTTGAGAAAATCATGTCATTCCTGAAAAATTCCATTTTTTTATTCAAATTATTTCTGAATTTCTTGTGCTTCTGTAAACCCCGAAAAATGTAGTGAAAATGCTCATATAATTAGACTAACAAGAAATTCGATATTTAGTATATTATTTCAGTATTCAATGAGTTCATTAATTGAAATTACAAATGGTTCTTGAAGTTACAAGTGATTTATCAAATAATAAATTATACCTAAAGTAAAAGTTATAAAACATTACATTTCCCGCATTTCAACGTGAATCACATTTCCGATAACGTCTTGTATTTCGTGTTCGAAAGATGTTTTCCAGAGTGTACTTGTGGAATACGTTATAGTGGGATACATTTTACATAACGATATTTCATACAAGTCAGTCCGATTACGATAAAGCTGGATACGACTCGAGACATTCTAACGGAATAAATCGAGATAGCGGTTACTTTCTGCCACGGCTTTCGCGCGCGCGCGTGCCATGAGATTACAACGACGACACGATAATTAATCAAAGAAACGATCGGAGTCAGATTGGCATTACTCGCTCTCCGCTATGTTGGAATCAACTCTCTCAATCTACAACTGCGTAATTTCTCAACAAGATAATGTGATTGCCGCTCGCATAAAATGAATCAATAAGAGGAAGAGAGAGAGGGAGGGAGAAATAGGAAATTAAAATAACACTCTAGAAATTATCAGATTCAGCCAAAGTGAGAATACATTTGTGATAATATCATTACAGTGGCAGCAAAGAATAAGCGGAATCTACGAGGTGGGATACGCGATATCCTTGGTAGCGCTGTTACTTTCCTTAGGAATTCTCACGTACTTCCGGTAAGTTTGCAATTTATTCGACGTCTTTATTATGACCGTTATGAGAATTACAGTATGAGGATTTATATCTATGCTCGTATATTAAGGTTGCCCCGTTAAAACTCCAAGAATTACTCCTTGATACATCACGTATATGTCTGATATACACTGAGAGAAAAATTATCTTAAAATCAACAAATATTTCCTTGGTGGGTGCCATTAACATATTTATTTAAATCTACATTCTCTTTACTTAAATCAAATATTATTTATTTAAATCAAGTAAACAATATTTGATTTAAGTAAAGAGAATGTAAATTTAAGTAAATATTTTAATGGCACCCACCAAGGAAATATTTGTTGATTTTAAGATAATTTTTCTCTCAGTGTACACTCAAAAAAGGACTCTAGTTACTATTTCCTGCAATTCCATATCCTAAACGAAAACCTTTAACAAAAGAATATTACTCTTCTAATGGTGTCAACTATTAATCGGAAATCTACAAGATACTGTTCTAACTTTTCTTTTTTTTGGGTCAGGAGGGATATGTTTATTTGAAACAGAATACGCTCTCTTATGTGCGTGATGGGAGAGACGCGACCAGCGAGACTGGTACCATGAATAAATAAAAGACGAAACTCTTCTAACTTTAAAAATATTGTGCTTAGAATATCTCCGTGTTGTTATTTCAGAAGAATCCTCTTGAGGCCATCTATAAGAGTAAAATCCTTTACGATTCAGAGGATTCTACTAAGAATGAGATTATATTTTTTGGATGTAGGGAAGACTGGACCTGGATGCCTCATATTTCGAAGTTATAACTTCTCAGACAACTAATTGTTGCGACTGACTGTACAAATATGATAGAGGCAGTCTCTTTCTATGTGCCAATGCCCGTCACCTATTCTGCCACCTATATATTCGCCAATTCTGTCACCTATATATTTTATATTAATCAAAATACATGTAGAACGTGGTCACGTACCTTGCTCTAGTAACGCAGTTACTAAACGGGTTCAGTTGCGCAGATCCCAGTAACGCAGGGTGAGAAGGCCACGTATAAAATATGTATCCTAACTAGTAGTTCCGGGATATCCGCGAGAGATCTTCGCAGCCCTTCTATCGGCCCTTAATTATGAGCCAACTTTACCTCGTCCGTCTATATGCTCAATTTTAATCATTTTATGTATAAAAATTACTTTTGTATTATCCGAAATGGTATATCATGCACTTGCAAAAAATTTTATTCTAGCTAGCAAAACGTTGCTTAACTTTATTCATTCACAATAGAAAATATTAATACAAAATTTCGAGAGGTACAACAATTTATTTTGCTACTACTAAATCAGTTCTTTTTATTTTTGAATTGTAATATTATTCCAATTTTAAACAACTCAGGGAGAAGTATCTACGTTCTAAAAGGACTATTTCGCGATTTTATATCCATTGTTTCTTTCAAGATAAATATTAAAAAAACACATGAGCAACATGCCCTCGGGTCTAGACTCGGATCTCCCCTGCGTACAGCAAACAATTTACATTGCTTACAAAAAGAGTCAGAAGAACCGTAACATTCTTCATTTGCTTTTTCTATTTTTAGAACATTTTATGGTGATCGTTGCGCGTATTCGAAAAAATAATGAAAAACATGTAGAATCGCGCAGCACGTGCACTCGTGTCAATACCTTTTGTTTACAGTGGAAGTTAGCGAGAGTATAGCGCTATGTAATAGTCAAATATATCGAGTTGATAAAAGCACTCAGACAATGGCTTCATTTAGACGCGTATCCCTATACTCGCACAATTGTGGATCTTGATTGTGGATTTCTCTTTCGCCATTCAATAGCACGAAATTAAGATCCATCGAGGAGGTCTCGATGAAAGCGTGATTAAACCTTTTTTTCTTTTGTGTAGGTCTCTGAGATGCGCACGGATTACGTTGCATATGAACCTATTCACCTCATTCGCGTTCAACAATGCCCTGTGGCTGATCTGGTACAGATTCATCGTGGCGAATCCGGATATATTACTTAATAACGGCGTACGTATTGAGACTATACTAGCATGATAAGAATATCCTCGATTGAAGATAAGATATACTTGGAAATCTAGAACATTTATCAGAGTAGCGGAAATAGTAATTTTGCAACGCGACCATTGCTGATAGCAATATCTTTCTTCTCTTTTATGTTTCCATTCATGTATTTAGCTGCTGAATACCGGGAAAAGTGCAACAATAATATATACGAGTGTACAATGCGAAAAAATCGCAAAATGTCAAGATAAAACAAAGATAAACGAACGTTTATTCGTAGAATAGATCACAATACACAGATCACATACGTTGCAACTAGATTATTAAAATTTTCTAATCGTACGCATTATTGATTTATCATTTATTAATTATTAAAAGAAGAGCGGGAACGATAAGTCCAGTAATTTGATATTGTAGCATTGTATGCTTTACGTTAACGTCCAGGAAGAAATATTCACGATTAAAAAATATCAGTGATCTAATTATACTGCGAATTAAGACTATTATATACCGGTTTGTGCTAATTAAATGGAATAATTGTGGCATTGAGGCGAACGTAATATTGAAATATTGAAACATACAACATAGTAGATCAAGAAAGCCAATAAACCCAAACATGTTACATTCACAAATGAACCAAGAAATAGGGTATTAAACGCCTTTGAAAAATTGATTAAAAAATTTATCTAACGTCTCATATCATTCTTAAAGTATGAGAGTCCTCCCAGTATTTCACACGGAAAAAACATTGTAATAAAAATGACAATAAAATTTTTGGAATCTTATAGAGAAAATATTGTAATAAAAATAACAATAAAATTTTTGGAATCTTATAGTTTCCGGACCATGTAGAATTATGACCGATATTATTATATATTTGTTTAAAAATGTTATGCACGTTTGACTTTCTACTACAAAGTTATTGTAATTACTTGAATGTTTTTTTTATATCGTATGCACTAGAAATAGATCGTCAAATTCTACTATTTCTACTATTTCTATAGTAATGTATACTAAAATTTTGGTATAGTCTAGTTTTATAAAAAGCATTATAAAAAAAAATATAATTTTAACATTAATTTTTACTACGATATTTTCTCTGTATACATTTGTATCATAAGTCCGTAGTCGTATAATACTTGTGCAATGTTTCTTCTTGCCATTTCCACTGAAGAGGGCCGGAATGACGATCGTACATGGTTGATTTTTGGGGGCGCTCGATAACCCATTTCTTGCTTCATTTGTGGATATAATGTGCAATCGACATCTTGTATGGGCTCTTATCGGCTCTTTTGATCTATGTTTGTGCGTCTGAGAGTCTGATAATGTATTCAGCATTCTCGTTCATCGGAATTTTCTCAAGTCACAAAATGATAATGATTGTAAAATCATGAAGAAAGAAAGATAATGACTATTCAATTGCACAGTTATCGCGTACGGTAATTGCAGATAAGAGAAATGTACGGTAATAACTGTCAATCACGTCATCAAGGGATACGTCGTGTCATATTTTGCAACTCGATGTCACAATTACTCTGATTGACTTGTGAGTGTGCGCAAGTAGTCGAGTAGTTTTGAAAGGACATTCATGAACTTCCGCGCTTTGCAGATACCATGTCGCGTTCTGCACGTGCTCCTTCATTACTTTCTATTAACAAACTACGCCTGGATGCTCTGCGAGGGCTTCTATCTGCACACGCTGCTGGTAAACGCATTCACCAGCGAGCACAAATTAGTGAATTGGCTGATGGGACTCGGATGGCCGATGCCGGCTGTAATCCTCACCTTGTATACGGCATTACGCGCTTCCAGTGACGATCCTGCGGACACCGAGCAGTGAGTAACATTTTGTCAGTTGGCAATCGCGTTAAGAGGATTACGCCGTGAGAATGAGCAACATTTAACGAAAGCAGGCCTTCGTCGCGCGATGATGGAGGTGGACGAAAACTGAGAGAAAAATAGATTAGGCGGAAAATTAAGTTTTAAGGTCGATAAAGAAAGCTTTTATCGCACAAAACAAAGGAAAGGAACGAAGTTACCTTTGCACTCATTTTTTCGCCAACTTTTGGATTTCGGACAAAATCGATTAGTATTACACACATTTGAAGATATAATTTATAATTCAAAATAATTCATCACACAATATCGTTAATTTCTACCGTTGTTCTCTCAGCGTACTCTATTTTAAAAAATAATTAGGAAGTCACGAATGATTTTTTTCTTAAACCACAATAAACAGAAATGACAACAATAAGAAGGATTCCTCAAACAAATCAAAATTATTCCATCGGGTATTTTAATGTTGAGAATCCATTGAATTTAAGTTTGAGTCAAACAATTACTTGTGTGTTTCTTCTTCGAGTAATATTTTACTGTTGCTTCGAGTAAATTTTCACTCGATTTGAACGAGACTTCGTTCGAGGAAATTTAGAGAGTATCATTTGGTTTATGGTTATATCACGGGTTAAAGCCAAGAAAGAGCAGTGCCTTGAGGGGGACGCAATTGACAAAGTCGATCGATTCCGCTGAATTAAGAAAACACTCTCTTTCGGTTTCGTAAATAAGCTGTTTCATCAGCTGTTTCATCGACGAACGAATTAGAGCGATTGTTTGAGTTCCGCTCAAGGAGGTCATTGAACCCTGACACAGCACGTCGACCACGGAAAAGTGATGCCGGTCAACGTTAATTTCTCAGCAAGAAGAGTATGCGGTCGGTCGGTCGAGTACGTGCTGGTAAAATTAGGTATGTCCGGTGTCGTGAAACCACGGCAACTAAATGCGCCGGGGTGGGAGATCGAAACCACGATGCGACAATCACGTTACCGCTCCATTATACGCGACAGCTAGATGAAAACTGTCGATATACACATCGAGAAAAGGGACCGCTCCTGATACAAGCAAGATAACGCTCGCGGCGGGGCGAATCAATATCGGAAATTAACGAAACGTCTCGTTTGTTTTGCCAGATTAAAATAACTCTGTTGGAATAACATATAACGGTGATATAAATTATGATGTATTTCATCAACTTCGCTCGTTATTTATTTTTTAACGGGTAATAATTCGACCGGCGAATTTTCTCCCAATCTTTCCTCCACGTGAAACATTCGGCGAGGAATTATTCATCACCGCGAAATTATTAGGTTGATTTGTAAGTTTGTGCAGATTTTCGAACAAAATTGAAATGCATTTTAGTCTTGTTAAAAACAATTCTAATTAATAATATATACGCTATTCTGCTCGACAATCTTTTGCCATTTTTCGCGCAATTTCATAATTTTCCTTCTCATAAAAACTCTTATGCTTTCCCGACGAAGAAACGTCCCAAGTGATTTTTCACATCTTCTAAAGAAGCGAAGTTTATATTGCCAAGAGAGTTTTGTAATGAACGGAACGGATGTTAATCGGATAGAACAATGTCGGGTGAATATTAATAGTGAATAAAATAAAACACCTCAGCCATACTTTTTATGGCAACAATTTTTATGGCAGTAAAAAAACATAATGCACCGGAAAAACTCATTACTGTCTTCCATTTTTAAGCCGCAACAAAAGCAACTATACTTCTTCAAACAGTATGACTTGCACTACAAGATATACTTTAAAATGTCAGCCATCAATGTATATACATAGATGACTGTATGGGACTATTCTTCTAATACCAACAGAAACCTGCGGATGCCAACTAGACAAAAGTCTGCACGAAATTATGGATCAATCCAATACTTTGACAATTATCACTCCTCTGTTATCGATAAAAAGGAAATGTCGTAAAATACACAGGGTGTGCACTATCGTTACCGTGACGCCGTAATCTGAGCCATTAAAGGGGTCGTCTACAATGCGGTCGCAGCACTAGTCTGTGAATCGATCATATATACACAGCGCCGTTGGTACCTGAACATCCTAGATTGAGAGTCACACAATTTTCGATCTTATGAGAATAATATTGAATTATAATTAAAGCTATTATAACTAGAATTATTTATGTAATTTTCAATCTGAAGCGTTAGATATAAGGCTAAAAATCGTATAACCTTCGATCTAGGAAATATTCGGTCATCTTTGACGCTGTGTGTACCTATTCCCTTCGCATAAACTCATGAAAGATGAAAAGTTTTATTGAACACATTAGTGAAACTTTTCATTTTTCACGAATTTACGCGGAAGAGAGAAACAGATATATGATATCGATTCAGTGCTGCGACTTTAAAACCTAATAACTGCCGTATTGTAGACAACCCTTAAGGCTCTTACCGCGTAACTCTTGATTGATGACGTCAAAAGCGAGAAAACGCGCATCAAAAATCTTTACGAGATACATTGAAATAAAAAGGTGCACTCATAAAGTGATATTTGAGTCGATTAAGCACATTTATAAAATATTCCAAAAACTTTCCTCTTACTCTAACGATTAATAAATCGATTAATAAACCTTCAAACTAACGTGAAATTTAATTTTATTTTTTAATCTAGTTTTTCTATGTGATTTTGTTACATTTATTTCACGGCTATTTATTGATTGTTAGAATAAAGGGAAAGTTTGCGGATTTGACAAATGTGCCCAATCAATCACGGGTGTCATTTTGCAAACTATCCTATTAATTTGACGTATTTCGCAAAAACTTTGGGTATACACATTCCCTCACTCCTCTAATGTCATTAATCAAGATGACCGCAGCAAGAACACAGGAGCTTCAATGGATATCCTGAAGGGCCGAATTTTGTATAAAAGTATGACAAACTTACGAGATGAATCGATTATTTACTCAATTAAATCATTTAGAATTCTACTTAAAGAAACTGCTGTTCCGTTATCAATGAGATATAGAGCGCGTACGATTACGTAAGGAACGAACATTGCCAAAGGAATCGTTTTACAAAGAATCGTATTAATGAGATTACTGTTTTTGTTTGATCGCCGCTCGGCAATAATGGCTCACGTGAAAGACAAGGGATAAATATATGCAATCTGGGAGAACGCTTTGATTGAAGACCCTTCTAAATCGCACGTTCGACCTTTCTGTAAGAAACGAGCTTTTTATAGCTGGCGATAGAAAGACCGCCTTACATAACTTACTGCTGGAGCTTTTTCTCCCAAAAAGATTTCGCGCAGTAATGTGTGTGTGTGTGTGTGTATGTGTATGACTCGCCGTATTAACGTACCGCTGAATTTAAGTTATAAACACCGTTGCAAGAATAATTAAGAAAGGAACAAGAATGCGGAATGGGATGGGAATATTTTCATACTTATTAAATTCAAAGAACACATCATGACCATCACATTCCTTCAAATTCTTCTTCTCGTTCCTTCTAAACATTTCTCTAACATTCTCTAACATAATATTTGCAGGGCTTCGATTATGTGTTAATTTTCAATGCGATTTAAAATGACGAAGCATTTCGACCAATCTCCTTTCACGTAACTTCGTATTCGTAAGTCGATGCCACTGTGATACGGCAGCTTTATGCAAAGTTAATCAATATAAAGGGCACGCGACTTCGATTGTAAGCAATTGAAACACGAGATTTGAAATGCAAAGCGCATGGAACAAGACAAAATTATCGTTGGAGTTTAAAATGTAACTGGTGAAACATGTAAGTACGCTATAAAACGGGGCCCCTGGGATCCAATTTGGTGGATTTATAGGTTCATGAAATTATAATAGGTACTTTGCATCGCCATGTAGCATGGCGCGAGAAAATAGTCGACGGTGGACTCGTCTTTTACAAGTATACACATGCCATTGATGCTCAGAATATTCTCTAAATGGAGGTTACACGATTTTGAGCCTTATGCGTATACGAATAAGATTGAAACCATTCCTCTCTAACTTTCCCTATCTCTCCTTATATCTCCTTGTCTCTCCCTGTTTCTTCCTGTCTTCCCCTATAATTATTAATTAATTAAAGTATATTTTAATTTAATTTAATTTTTATTTTATTTTTATTTTACATTTTTTATTGTTTTTTATTAGCTCTATAGCGCGCACATGTATTGTTCTAGTACAGTTAAAAAAGGCCATCATAAGTGGAGCTATTTATGCGATTTTCGATCTTAAACATTATGTGTAAAGCCGAAAATCTCGTGTAAATTTCGATCTAGGAAATGTTCGGGCGTAACGCCGTGTTACCTGAAACGTAGCTCGTTTATTTTTCCTGGAGAATGATTCATCGGGAATTCTATACGTGTGCAAACGTGGTAATTTATTCACACATTTACAGCCGTGTATACTTTATTTCATTAGACCTCACTAGACGGCACCTACGTCGTACAGTCTACGAAAATATAAGACGGAGGTTCCATCAGTGAGGGCCAATAGAGCAAGGACTGGTAGTGCTTGGCAAATTTGTTGAAAGTGACTTAACGAAAGAGCTGCGTCCTGCAATATCGGTTCACTGTCGAACGTTTCGGTCTACGCCGTACTTCTCTGGCGCAATAAGATCCTGTGATGTGTTCGCGTCGGTATATCGGCCGACTTTAAAAGTTCCACGAGCTTCAACGATTGAATGCGACACGCTCCGCCCGACAAATTTTAAGTACATAAGTGCATTAATCGACGTCGCTCGGTCGACAGGCGACACTTTTCAATCTCAACATTCGCCAAAGCTAACGATCCTACCAAGCTTAACAAAGTTGTAGGACAAAATGAGTTTGCTATGAATTCACTGAAATTTGCACTACATTTTAAGTGAATTATTATCCGACTACTCGTGCAATTGGAAAAAACTTACCAGAGAGTCAGATAAATTGCGAGAGTTGAGATACTTGAAGCTAAAGTTGGCACTTTTTATACATACGTGTTCCTCGGAGTTAGCGTGCTATTCTTGATTTCTATTTTTAATTTCGTGTAAACTGAATTGAGCTTTTAATGAAGTACTGATATTAAATATTAATATATAGAGTGTCCTGTTTTAAACAGACCGAATATCTCGGAAACTCTTTAAACACGTGCATTCGCAATACGATTTTCCTGGTTCTTTTGTTCATATCCGAGGCGAGAGTCAACTGATATCTACAATCGATTACGATTTTAGGATCAATGTACCTTATGTCGCATTACACGATTATTTATTATCGCGACGTTTGTTGCACGTGTGACAGCTATTTCCGGCTAATTGAAATCGCCGTTCGCCGATAAAGTCGCGAGGGTTCGTTTGAAGGGTGCTTCAGTGAGTGAAATAAAATCGGGATACGATACCGGCCACTCAATCTTTGCGCCGGAAACATACCGCGCGCACGGATATGCACGTACGAGAGCGAGTAGCGCTCGTATAACGACACTTTACGAGCAACGTCAATTGAAACATATCGGAACATTGATGAAATAAACGGCTCGATAACGAGCCGCATCGACGCGTTATAAAGCATCAATTCGGTGAAAACAATGTTATATTAAAAGCAAATGTTGTCGAATCAATTGTTCATGTAGGCGCGGCTATATGTGCCCAGCGAGACGCGCTCGCGCTTGTCACAATGATGGTATTTCCATTATTTAAATCACTCATAATGCACGATCTGTCGATGTAATGAGAGATTATATTAAACGCTTAATATATAAATTGAATAAGAAATCACTCGCGTGCAAATAACGACGATGTTAACACACGACGATGACCACACATAATACCTTTAAATAATCGGATTTCGGACTCTACTTACAATCACATTCATATTACATTCAATACGCATACCTGAAGAGAGAACGCTGTTACGTTCTTCAGCAACAACACTGTTCCAAGTATTTTTGTTATTTTCGGAGTGGCAACCGAATCATTAATGTCTTCCTCGATTTTTCTACTCTTTCCTCGAAAGAATTTCCAAAAAATATTGACATTTTCTTTACTTTTCTAAAGTTAAAGACCACATAGCTTTCCTGTGAAAAATAAGATGTTCAATCTTTTATTATTAATGATTTCTTAACAGAAATACTTCGAAAAACGAGTATTAGAGTAGCCCAGGGACACGAACAATCCTGGTTGCCATTCGAAGGATTAATACGAGCCAGAGTTATTTTTTGACGTGTGTATAAAACCAAGACGATTGACATCGCCTTATTTTAGAGATTGAAGACGCAACTCTAAATTAATAAAAGTCAGACCGACAAGATCGATTTACGTCGTATCCGATATGAGGAACTCGTATATCGTTACCGATGGTAAGATTTTATTTTTGCCTTCGAGAGAGAGAGTCTGTTCGCGCGCGCCCGATCATCTCGATCCGACGTCAGCATCTGCTTCACTCGTACGTTTATTTTTGCCGGTGTATTTCTGTAGTACACACCCTATCATATGGTAAATATTTTATAACCGGTCGCCAGTAACGCGGCGAGCAATATCTGGCGATCTTCTGATCCCCCCGTTACATCTTCTTCGTTGTGTGTTGCACCTTATTTCGCTTCCTTCATATCTATTGCAAGAAGTTAATCACTCATATCCTCTTGACATTTTTCACCCTCCTCCTGTGTCTGGATTGTTAGAATAAGTGTTTAACGCCACCCACAAACACGCGCCGTACGGATATACTTAGTCACGGATTAATATGCAATCGATTCTCGACACAAAACAAATCTGTTCTTTTCTCACTTCCTGTTTCCTTATTAATAACAGCGTTAAAGATATATCGTTCATGTCGGAGGAATCCCGCGCTTAATATTCTTACGCCAATATTAACGGTCCTTTCAACGATTCTTCAAGACAGAACAGTTCGGAGAGATAGATTTATACTGAAATTATTCTATCGGATCGATGAGTACAAATTTCAGTCAAGAGTCACATCGACAAACGTAATTTTGTGCGACCATGGAAGTTTATTCTAGATGAAATAACCTGTTAATTTCGTTCCGAGCAAACTTATTATTCGTTTTAGTAGGTAAGACGCAATTTATGAGGTATTGCCCGTACAATTCCTGCAAAAAGTCACTGAAAACTAGAAATACGCTAATATTTCCATTTTTCATATAAAAGTATGGTATATATACAGAGTGTCTGACGATAACATATAAAACTCTCGTGTACGTGTAGATTAAGTCAAACTAAACAAAAAATCTTCTACTATCTTGCAAACAACGCAACGTATAAAATTGCAAGGAATTAAAATAATACTTTCAGGCATCCCAGAGGAATTGTCGTTCCTGAGCATTCTAGTTAATAATTTCCCAACCTTAATGAAATTCGAGGAAAAAGTGCCTGTGTTCTAGAAAAAACATTTTGCGATTCCTTTTTCAATCTTCCTCTCGTGATAGAAACACAAGCTTGCGCAAACTAGCTCCGGCCTTCATCTCTATAGCTCTACGATAAAGATACACGCGCTGAAATAAATATCGCGACGATACACGATGTAGGAGACGCGCGAGAAATCTTGCAAGAGTTATGTGGCTCACTCACAAATTAATAGCATAACACATTGATTACTGTCACGATTAGGTGCTGGATCAACGAGGGCAATTATATGAACGTGCTGGTTTATCCCGTATGCGTATCCACCATGTTGAATCTGCTCTTCCTATTTAACATCGTGCGAGTGCTCCTTATGAAGCTGCGCGCCGGTCCTGCCATCGGAACGCGTCCGTCGCGATCCATGTTGCAGGCTTTCAGGTGACACACGAGCTGAATTCTTTATACTTCATATGTTACTCCTCGCGCGTCATGTTTCATATCGATGAGACGGCACAGGAAAAGGATATGGAGTAACGAACATGCCTTTTCTGCGCGGGAGGTATCGATTGAAACGTATTCTCCTCACGAGGAATTATCAGTGATTGCTTCAGTCGGTACTTATCAGGATTCGACGCTCGACGAATCTTTATGGGTCGTATTATCGTATACTTGAAACTAACCTAAAATTAACTCTGAAACACCACATTTTGGTGTACCACACACGTGCTATTGTTGAAATTCTATATAGTGAAAAGTAGGAAATCGGGATTGGTGGGAAAAAGAAAATTTCTGTTTTTACTTTACAATTACCCATGTTGTGCAGCCCTATATGCTGTTAAAATATAGAAGACACGTTAAAATTCATATTAAAGCAACATTTTTTTTTTAAACATTGTTCTACATTTTTTCAAGAAAATTATATCTTTTATCTTTAACAAATGGCAATCTATACAATATGGCATTACAACAAACACTACAATTACAAATTTACAAATAGCCTTTTCGTGATTAAAAAAATTTCTATTCGGCTTTTTTGCAAAATTAACATTTTTTATGGAACCTCAATCATAGTTAGTGATATAGACATACTCTTGGCATTGTAGCGTTCAAAGTAAAAAAAAATATGTTACAAAATAGTCACTTTTTGAGGAAGTATTGATAATTGAAAGTGGCTGGATGCACTATAGTCAATGTGTTGAAATCAAAGGACACAAAAGAAGTGTAGTGTTCTAATGTTAAGACGAGCCTTAATGTCGTTAGACATTAATCGATAGATTTGTTATTGTCGTAGAACACAATTTTGTTTAAAGTACGCACTAATACTTTAATTAAAAGGCTGACACTTCGGAATAATCGCTGATAATTTATCATTGCAAAAGAACGACTGTTCTTTGTAAGAACAGTCATTGACATGACTGAAATATAACTTGGCACATGATAATGATGATGATGATCGTCGTTACTGACGATTTACGAAAATCGGATCTAATATTTTGTCATCAGGGCGACGTTACTGTTAGTACCTCTCTTGGGACTTCACTATTTAGTGATCCCATTCCGACCGCCCAAGAAGCATCCATGGGAGCAGTTTTACGAGGTCCTTTCGGCGATTACGGCTTCCTTCCAGGTTAGTGACTTTAATCTTTGTCGGTGTCCTTCGAGAGAATTTCCTCTGTACAAATTGGATTAACTAATTAAGCTTGAATATTATTAATGATATATTATTAATGATATATTATTAATAATATATTATTAATAATATAATTGAACACTTCATTGTATACTTAATATATAAATATTAGTCAATGCATATTAAAGCTCGCTTACAAACGCGATTATACGATAAACGCGAATCGGAGTATTCCTTCGGAGAGTTGTATCGCGTATATTATTACACGCAAATTCTCCGCATAACGATAACGAACTGTGTATAACGTATATGAAAAAAAATGTATACCACAGAAACAAATGAATTAGCGAGTGTTTAATGTGAAAACACGTAAAATATTTCGGATACGATACCATTTTACGCACATTGATAATCCTCTACAACACAAGAAGCGAAATTTTTATTTTCTCTTCAAAACTGTCAAGCCCGAAATTGGAAATATCGTATAGTCGGAAAATGTTGCAGTTAGAGAAAATATGTACACGTTTATACTTTTTATGAAGCGTGTCATAGCCATCCGTTCTTTTAACCATTAAAATCAGTTTAGTTTAATCAGAGATATATGCCTTTTCGTACATATGCAATAAAAAAAATATATGCGCAAGTCGCACACAGGATGTTCTAAAATAATCTTATCCGCATTTAGCAATAAATGTTTCAGTTGACTTGGATCTTTCCCCGATATAAATATCGAAATATTAATCGTTCTTTACGTAAACGATAAAAAATAAGTAACTTAGCGCCTTCTCTCACCAATTAATTTTCAAGAGGACGATGATAAGTCTCAATGTTAATTTCGTTTGAAGTTATCATCTTGATTGTGAAAATATTTTGTGTTTTATGAGTTGATCAATGAGTTAATTGAATTATTAAATGCTGAAAATAAGGCAGAGAAAAAAAATTGAGAAATAATAATCTCTCTAATGAAATCTCCGCTAAAGAAAACTCAATTCCAAGTTAATTGAAGGCGTCATAATTGAAGGACAGTGGTAGCTTCGTGACTTTTTATATAATAAAGGAGTCGTCTATATGCGCCCATAAACCTTTCAAAGGAAAAATCTCGCCAATTGCGATCGTAGCTTGGACATTTCTCGTTGCGCGAAAGTTCTGCAATTCAATGCAGCGTCCCGGATTTTAAATAAAAGCATTGTACCGTGGTAATTATAAAAGCGCTTAATATCCCTATTCGACGCAATAAACAAAATAAAATGTCATCGTAATAAATAAGCATTGTTCTAAGTTCTCGTTTGACGCGATCGTGCCTATACGGGCATCGAGCGATCAAATTTTGCGTGGAATTGCGCTTTCATGCACCGCCGACGTGATTGCATTGTCATATAATTGCTTCATGTCGTATAAAATTGTATCGATGGAATCGCCATTTCATTGAGCAATTCTATCAAATAAAGCGTTTATCTTGGCGCTTCAGCTCTCTCAATTCAGTCATTTTATTTTGTCTGAAAAATACCATCGTTAGAATGCACACTTAAAATCTTGACAATGCTGCGTGCACTGAGGAACGCCGCAAAAACTCACCGATTATCTTCGCGATTTGTTACACTTATTCGGCCACCATTGATACGGCAATGATTTGACATAAGGCAAAGATATGCAAAGAGACACAGGAATCTGAAAGAAAAAATATGTATTCAATATTTTTTGAAATTAAATCTCAATTGATATCTCCATTTTGCGATACTTTGTGCGATATTCGTGTGCAATCTCGCGATCTCGTACAACGGAATCACACGCTCTATCTTGCGAGTCACCGGTGGTACGATTAAATTTGAAAATTAACCGGAAGTGCCTTTTTCACGTGCTTGTTGTGAAGCAAATTGCAATAAAGTCGCAGGGAATTTCCTCCGAAAGCATTTCTCTGATCTCGAATATCGAAATAAAATGCAATTTCTCCTTTTTCCTCCACAGGGTCTCTGTGTGGCAGTACTTTTCTGCTTTTGCAACGGCGAGGTAAGTTGTATGACCGCTGCGGTAAACGGTCGTTTCTGCTCTTCCATGGTAACAGTGATCTGTAATGATATTTTCTCTCGTGGTGCCGCCAGGTAATAGCGCAGTTCAAGAGGAAGTGGGAGGGCAACGCGCTTTTGCGAAAACGAGCCAACTCCTGCACGGCCACAACTGTCTCGGTATGCGATATCGACGAAAGGTCCGGCTTTTGTAACCAAAATCGATTTCAAACGTCGTCCAGCTTTCCCGCTTACTTACCCGCGTGGCTCCTTTTAAGAAATAAAAGCCGGCCGAGAGCGGGTGGATTAAAAGGAATGCAGCAGAGACACATTCGCTGAAAATTGAATTCCTTATCTCGGAAATCACAGATTAATTGGGGAATTTCTGGGTCCCTGTCTATTCTTTTTTATATATTCTATATATATATATATATATATATATATATATATACTATAATAATATAATATATATATTTCTATAATATATATATTTTATAATTCTATAATCTTTTTTATAATTCTATATTCTATATAGTCGCTACTGTTATTCTTCGTTTTCTTACAAACGATTCAGCCAATAATCTTTCTCTAATCGCTTCCACACGACGAAGCGACAACCACGCTATATATTATTTTGCTTATTCTGACCGGCGCTCGCGCGAATCATAACACCTTTTGTTTGCTTAACATGCAAACAATTGAAGCGTAAGATGAATAGCAAGCACGTCCGAACATTGTTCCTTTTGTTTCTACTGCTATTTTTTAATTTCATAACTTTAAAAAATATAATTTCCCGTGTGTGATTTTACGGATTCTTCCCGGTGCGCTTATTTCTTTTTTCATAGAAAAGTCGCAAACACAGGATTGGATAAAACTATCGTGCGCGCGGGAGTAATCTGTAAAATTTTGTCGTGTCACCTTTGAACGATTCGCGAACGCGGCACGATGAAAAGCACCCCTGCGATTTTAACGGAAAAATTCGCGCTTAACGCACGAATGTAACATTCCCCGAACTGAAATTCCCGTATGCACGACTCGTCAATGGTGCGATGCGGACTAACACGGTCGGCCTCGAATATTAACCTGCACACTAACGTATACACGTGTACTAACACTTGTTCGCCAAGCTGCGGTTGTGCAGTGTTTATCAGCAACGCGATGCACCGCAATAATAAACTGTGTGTTGTAGACAAGAAAGAAGAACGGGGAAGGGGTGTAAGAGAGAAAAAAGAGGAGTGGTGGAGAGAGTGAAAGAGAGAGGAGCGGAATGATAAAACAGGATTTGGAAAGAGTATAGTGAGGAGAGAAGACAAGAAAAAGCAGGAGAGGAAAATTAAAAAAAGAAGGGCTGGAATGGCAGAAAATACAAGAGAGATGAGCAATGAAAGAGAGAAAGAGAGAAAGGGGGGGGGATAAAATTGGAGAGAGAAGTTCGTAGGGAAAGGTAAGAGACGGAGAGGAGTTAGGAAAATTAAAAGGGAAAAGATAAGGAATGAACGAATATGAATGGGAACATGAGAGTAAGTGAGGGAAGGAAATGAGAGTGAGGAGGGTGAGAGAGAGAATGAGGGCGAGTGAATGACAGGAAAGAGAAAGAAAGAATGATAGACAGAGAGAGAGGGAGAGAGAGAGAGAGAGAATGAGGGGAAGTAAATAAAAGAAGAGAAAGAAGAGAATTAGATGAAAAATAAAATAGGAGGGTAAAAGAAAGAAATAGTGGGAGAAAAAGAAGAAGAAAAGAGAGAGAGAAAGAAGAGAAGGGAAAAAAGAAGGTAATGGGAGGGTAATGAGAGGGAGGAAGAGTGGGAAGAGACAAAAATGTGTAAGGGGGAAAGAAAGGGAAACGTGAGAATGAGATGTTGACAAAAGGTATAAATGAGGGGAGAGAGAGAGAGAGACAGAGAGAGAGACAGAGAGAGAGAGAAAGAGAGAGAGAGAGAGAGAGAGAGAGAGAGAGAGAGAGAGAG